ATTAATTCGTTCAGTACATCCTTCCAACCCAATTCTCTCTCGCTGTTGAATGGGGAATGAAAAAGATCGGGGAAGAAGAGAGCGAACGATTTCTTGGAGTTCAGATCGCCTTATCTAACTGCATGGCAACGCAGGATAACTTGCTCCTGCAGAAAGTTACCATGAGACTAACCTCGTGGGGAAAGATGTGCCACCTATCGATATATGGTAGAGCCATGGTAATCAATGGTGCCCTATTTGCATTATTATGGTTTGTCAACAGAGTTCGTGGGTTAGGCTCGCATCTGTGTGGGGTAACGAAGCGAAGGGTTGCCAAATTTATTTGGAGACCCTTCACTAAAGCAGGTGACTCCTTCATCTCAAAGATGGTATGGGAAATGCTATGCCGACCCCAAAGTGAAGGGGGTATTAGCATTCTAGACCCCCAACGTCAAAATTCTTCAATGTTGTGTCTTTGCATCATTGGAGCTAAGTCTGCTTCACCCCTCACTCCACTGAGTATTTTTAGGTGAACAGTTCTATCACGAGAATGAATATATAGATAGAATAGACAATAAAGTAATCAAAACCTCTCTCGCCCAACAGACGTTTGGACGTGTCTGCCACTCTATTCATATCAGCTAGGACACATCAACTCCCCCTTTCGGGCATCAATAATTAGTGTTTGGAAAAAGATCTGCCCAAACAACCGGAAAGAACCATCCTCGAAAGCAGAGGTGCTTGCACAACCGCTATTTCAGAACCCCCATATTGGAGATATGTTAGACAACTGGTTTAGAGTGGACTTAACCCCTTCTAGTTTCGGTCGTTCGTGGATCGAACGAGGGGTGCTGAGAATTCATGACATTTGGGATTCCACGTTGGGTAGTTGGAAAACGGAAGTTACTTTGAGAGATCGGTTGGGTCAACTGTGGCATATAAAGGACCGGAGGAAGACTCTGATTAACGCAATGCCATCTAGGTGGAAAAACATGATTTCACCAAAAGGAGTCGATCCTCCGGGAACATGGTTTTTCGGCAGAACATTCTAACCCCGCGTTGGTATGGAAACTTCGTTCAATTGCCACAAACAAGAATAGGGATTTCGAGTGTTGGAGGGTGCACAAGAACTTGCTACAATTAGAGGAAGTAAACAACCAACTCCCACTGGACTCACAACTGTATCAGCTAAGAGTATTAGAATCTGAAGGTTATGAGGACTCTTCTCGTTATCAACTACATGCAAACGGGACTCCGGTTTTTAACCTAAGGCTTGACCCTGCTCTATGGGAATGGTCGGTCACTGGCAGAAGAAGAACAAATGCCTCGTTGGCTGATTACTCCATTAAGATCGGATACTCTATGCTCACCCTCATGAAAGTTCCACAAGTAGTTGCACAGGTTAGATGAGCCCAACTTATCGACCTACCTACACAAGAAATAGATAGAGCCCTTATACATGTTGGTCCCAACAGAAGATGATAGCTAACCAAAGACACTCCTCCCTGCTGTGGTCGGTTTCCTCAGTATCCACTCCCTCAGCAGTCTGGCTAGCCGAACGTGGTATGGCACTAAATCGTACCTATCCTAGATGCAGTTCGGTTCACCTTTGGTGGGATTGTCCTGGTTCTGGTCGAATTTTGAAATGGTGGATAAAATATTGGACCCATATTTCTGGTTCAGCATTTACATGGACCAAGGAATGGGATCTATTGGGAGGCGTCCCAATTGGGGTACGAAAATCCAAAGGATGGGGCAACATAGCCCAATCAGCCCGAGTTGTTTGCTTCAACGTTATCTGGCAAGGGCGAAACCAACGAACCTTTCAAGGAACAGATTACACCAATCGTCAGATTAGAAGGGCGGTCAAATCCCAAATATGTCAGGCTATCCAGACGGATTGGCGACGCAAAGTGGCCATGACGCAAAACTCTTGACTAGGCATCAAATGGTTTAAAGATACCTGGGCCCTGGGTAATCATCTCTGCAAGGTGACAAACAACACGCAGCTGTGCCTGGATTCTTGGTTGCTTCAAGACTCATCTTCAAGTCTCCCGTGGTTACCTAGATTGGGTGTGGGTCTCGTATTGAGCTTGTCCTTTTCGGCTGGGAATGACATTGTGGTCACAAGGGCGAAATTGCACGGTACATATAGTTCTTGTGCTTTCCTTGTTGCATTGCACTCGTAATTAGGTTTTCTTTGTCTTTTTTTTTTTTTT